CTGAGACCAGGTGCATGGCAGGGCACCCATAGTCCACAGCCCCTCTCCAATCCCACATGCACTGGGGACTCTAGCCAGTGCAGGGAGGCCAGAGAAGGAAGTGACAGGCACATAGATTGGGTGAGAATGAGTGTAGTGTCCTTATCATAGATGGTATGCCCTTGTGTGTAGAAATCATAAGGGATCTTTAAGAATACTAGTAGGAATCAAACAAGGTTGGTAAGGTTACAGGATGCAATATCCATATACAAAAGTCAGTTGTAATTCTGCATATGATAAACAGTCCAAAATTGAGATTAATCAGTTGGTCATAACTGACAAGAGTTTTCTTCTGGACTTTGTATTCTTTTCAACTGATCAAAATACCATCTTAGGGGCACTGGCTGGCTCAGTTGGTGGAGCGTGGGACTCTTGATCTCGGAGTTGTGAATTTGAGCCCCACATTGGGTGTAGAGATTACTTAAATGAAATTTTTAAAAATAACCATCTTCTTATTTTTGCTTAACCACTAAATTTTGAAATCAGTGTAAGCCCTCTGACTTTGTTCTTAATTTACCAAAATGATTTTGGCTAGTCTAGGTCCTTTGCATTTTTACATAAATCTTAAGATCCACTTGTTAGATACTACCAAAAAAAGCCTGCTGAGATTTTGATGGGAATTGTGTTGCATCTGCACATCAGTTTGGGGGAGAACTGCTGTCTTAACAGTTTTGAGTCTTTGAATCCATCAGCATGGCATGCCTGTCTCTCCACTTCTAGATCTCTAATTTATCCAGGAGATCTTTTGTTGCTTTCATTGTATAGGTCTTTTATAGATAAACTTATGCTTCAGTAATTGCTTTTGATGGTGGAATTCTCTTCAGTCCACAAGGCATATCTTTTCCCATTCTTTTTTATTTTCAACCCATTTATGTCTGAATCCAAAGCATACCTCTTGCAGACAGTATCAGATGTTGCTTTTCTTGTTGCCTGATCCATTCTTATACTGTCTGCCTTTTCACTGGAGTGTTTGGTCCATTGAGGGTTAATACATTATCAGCATGTGTGGATATATGTCTGCCATTTTGCTATTGTTTTTTTGTATGTCTTGGGATTTGTTGTTTGTATCTCCTTAACTGTTTTTTGCATTAAATATTTTTAGTGTATCATTTTGCTACAGACTGGATTGTATCTCCTCAAAATTGATATGTTGAAGCCCTAACACCCCCCCCCTTTACTATATTTGGAGACAGAGCCTTTAGGAGGTAAATGAGGTCATAGGGTGGGACTCTGATCTGATATGGTTAGTGTCCTTATAAGGGGTGGGGCGGGGAGGCACATTGTATTTGTGTCAACAAAACCATAAAAAACAAAAAGAGGAGGGCGCCTGGGTGGCTCAGTTGGTTAAGCGACTGCCTTCGGCTCAGGTCATGTTCCTGGAGTTCCGGGATCGAGTCCCACATCGGGCTCCCTGCTCAGCGGGGAGTCTGCTTCTCCCTCTGACCCTCCCTCCTCTCATGCTCTCTCTCTCTCAAATAAATAAATAAAATCTTAAAAAAAAAAACAAAAACAAAAAGAGGAGACACCAGAGAGCTCACTTACTCTCCATGCGGTGCACTAAGAGGTCACAGGAGCACACAGAAGATGGCCGTCAACGGGCCAGGAAGTGGCCCTTCCTAAACGCCCAGCCAGCCTCGATGACTATGAACATTAAATGTCCACTGGTTAAGCCCCAGCCTGTAGTGTTGTGTTGTGACAGCCGAGCCCACTAACACACGTTTGATTTCTCTGTTGATATTTTACAACGTGTTCTGTTATTTTCGCAGTGACTGCCTAGGAATTCCACCATGCACCCTATCATAATCTACTTTAAGTGAATACTGACTTAACTCTGGTGAAATTCAGAGGAAGTTCCTCCCCCGCTTCATGATGTCCTATTTATGTATAACTACATATGCTATATATAACACATAATAACACATATAGCATTCATAGTATTACAAATCCAGTAACACAGTATCCTCCTAATTACTTCTTTGAAACAATGTCACATTTCTTAAAGATCATAAGAGAAAACAAAGTCACATACACACATTCTTTACTTGTACTGCATTTTTACCATTTCCAGGGTTCCTCCTTCCTTCCCATGGATTCAAATTAGTGTTGGCTCTTACTTCGTTTCAGCCTGAAGCACCATTTTGTGTAGGGCTTGTCAGCCGGCAGTGGATTCTCAGTCTTTGCCCACCTCTGGATGTCTTCATTTTGTCTGCATCTTGAAGGGTCACTTCACTGGCTATAGAGTTCCTGGCCCACCATTTCTAGCCCTGTGGAGGCTTCCCCCTGCCTTGCGCTCCATCATTTCTGGTAAGGAGTCAGCCGTGAGTCATGTCATTCTTCTGCGTGTGATGAGTTGCTTTTCTTCTGCCGCTGTAGATTTTCTCTTTGTGCAGGGAGCCCTCTAGCCTTACCCTCTTTTTCAAGATTGTCCTGTCTCTTGTGCGGATGTGGTGTGCGGGGAGCCTGCTCTGCACCAGCAGCTCTCAGCTGTCCCCGCCTCACTGCGGGCACTCACTCCACACATGAGTGCTGTCTGCCACCGGAGTCCCATGGCACAGCGTCTCCCTGGCACTCGCCTCCATCCCTGACTCAACTCTGGGCTGGGCTGCAGCGTCCTGCGGACTCGCCAGGGCCCTGTGGGAGCATGCAGAGCTGCTGTCTGTCACTAGTGGGCTTGCAGCTTTGGTGTTGCACGGCTCTGTCGGGGCTCATGCTCGCTCTCATGAGGTCTGCTGGTCTCAGCTCCTGGGCCCCTTCTCGATGAACACACTGGAATGAGTTGGGGAGCTATGGGTGTCTCTCTGCCCCCCGGGTACAGGTCCTCCATTCCCCATGGCCCAGGGCTCCTCCCCATCACCAACCACACCCCATTGCCTGCTTTTGCAGCATGTTGCCCCATCCAGGATGGCCCTTGTCCATCTGGCATCACAGGGGGATGAGTTTTTCCATGTTCTGAGAAATGGGACTTGCCCTCTTTGGAGATCTTTTTCTTTTCTTTTTAAAGATTTTATCTATTTCTTTGATAGAGACACAGCGAGAGAGGGAACACAAGCAGGGGGAGAGGGAGAGGGAGAAGCAGGCTTCCTGCCGAGCAGGGAGCCCGATGCGGGGCTCGGTCCCAGGACCCTGGGGTCATGACCTGAGCCGAAGGCAGACGCTTAATGACTGAGCCACCCAGGCGTCCCAAGATCTTTCTAAAGTGCATTCAACAGCACCGCTTCCCTGAACAAGAATTACAGGTCTTGACTTGCGGGCATCTTATTGGTAGTGGAGCATCAGTCTGACCACCTGTTTTCAGGTGGGCTGAAGCAGGGGGACACCTCAGCACCCGAGTACCCGGTCCTGCCATGCTGTTGAGTTCCCACAAGGTCTGGGATGGTTTTCTGCTCCTCAGACCCCGCTGTGTCACGCGGTCCTCCTTGGCTGTGTGCGGGGCGCCCACCGTGCTGGGCTCAGGCTCTCACAGCCCCTGTGGGATGACCTGAGGGCCTCTGCTTCCTCATCTCTGTTGATAACTGTTCTGTCCACAAATTACCGTAAAGAGTAAGACGCTGTTTCAGTCGACCATAATTGTGTTGAGTACGTAACCCACCATTACTGTTGTGGTTCTGCCCCATGTTAAAATATACTGAGATTTACTTAATCAGTCGTGTGGCCCGCAGACCAGGAGGGGCTGCCGAGCAAGATGAAGTTTTGCGCACAGTCTCCTAGATGCAGGGGGCAGGCCGCCCCACAGGGCCCCACGTGGGATCCCTGGGTCCATCGGGCCGGGGTGGGGGGTGGTCTTCACAGGAAGGAGTGGCGGGCAGTGGGACCGACAAGGTTTGGGATTGCTTAGTTGGGGTCATATTAGCAGTTTGCGGGGCAGGGGTAGGCGCTGTCCTGCGTCCGATGCCGGCCTCGGGTGGTTAGGGCAGAGTGTGAAAGGTGGAGGTATTCAGAGCACAGGCTCTGGGGGGTCAGATTTCCTGTCAGAGGCGGGTTTACAGACAAATCATTACTCTCTGGGAGTCAGCTAGCCCTGGGAGGGGTGGTCTCTCCGGGATAAGCAAGGCCCCACGGTGTCAGACCATCACAAAAATACAGAAAATAAAACACGTGAGACAGTTTGTCTCCCTGATTCTCAGTAATTCTGCAGAGCTTCTGAGGGTCACCTGCACACTCAGGAGTCCTGGGAGCTGCCAGTGAGCGGAGCCCTCCCATGGTCCACACAGCCCAGCGGCACAGAGACGACCCCACTGGCCACTTGGTGCTGTACAGCCCTGTGAAAAGCACTGCCTCCCTCTGGTCAGGTTCTTCAATCACAAAAGGACACATGGGAACCCTAAATGCTGTCCTCCTCTCCCTGCCATTCTTCTGTTAAAATTCTCCCAAAATCTGGACACAAAGAGTTCGGGTGTTAAACAAGAGAGTAGTCTTCAAATTTGCTCCCTGCTATGACTAATGCACACCAGGGGCTGTTTACATCTTTAAAGGAAGCTGCTGCTTAGCATGGAGGATGTCAGCAGAAATTCGGGAGTGTAATAACTCACAGTGTGGGTGGAGACGAGGCTAGTCCTGGCACTGAGGCGCTCATCAGAGCTGGAAGCTTCTAGAAGTGCTTTTCCTCCCAGTGGTTCTCAGGGTAACGGGAGCCAAGACAGAGTGTAGGGCAGAGTGCAGGTCTCCAAACATTACTGAGTGCCCTCCCTTGCCAGACCTGCAGCCCAGAGCGCGGGGTCAGGCTGAGGCCCTGCGGGGCAGAGCAGCCCCGCCCCGGCTCTGCTGGTCTGCATGTCCCCTGAGCAGCTGCGGCGCACAGGGCACAAAGCCCTGGACGCGAGCTGTTCTCCCATCCTGTGGGCACACCTGCCCCGTCGGGAAGGGCGTGGAGAGCAGTATGTCCGGGATGTGGCAGGGGACAGCGGGGGCTGTCTGCCTTCCTGGAGCTGCACATGTTCACCTTTTAATCCTGTCCACTGCAGGCAGCATCTCGCGCTTCGGCCCTCAGCTCCTCAGCCTGACGCCCGGTCACAGCAGCATGTCCCAGGCTCTCAGGTGATGTCTCGCGGCTCCACAGACGTCCCAGCGGGAGGTGTGGGAGCACCCCGCTCACCACAGATAAGGCTGTGAACCTTAAGGGGATTGCCTTTTAAACCCATTTGTCCGTGTTCTGAGTATGATGACATCGCACAGACCACGTCCCGTTTTGCTTTTTTGAAGCTAAAATGTAACTTAGGCAGTTATCTTGTTCCTAAAAACTCCAAAAGAGCCGTTTCCCGGCTACAAGATATCTTATCACAGAAACAGACTAGGGTCGGCAAACATTTCTGTAAAGGGCAGGTAGTAAATGTTCTCAGCTCTGCCATCGTGCAGACAAGGTTGTAGAGGTAACTGGACAAACGGGTGCAGCTGTCCCGCTAAAACTCTGTCTACAGAGGCAGGTAGGGCTGGATTTGGCTGCCGTGTGCCAACCCTGAATGGACAATCCCTTGACTCTTCATCTTTGACACTGGGGGCCCCCATTCTCTGCTGTGTATTGGAACTCCCACCAGGGTTTCTACCTAGGCTCTCTGTCTCACCCTCCAGGGCAGGTGGTCCCTGAATGTGGACGCCCCCCCCCCTTACCTAAGCTCCTTAATGGCCTTCGATGCTGGTGGGTGAGCACACATTTTGTCCTCTGGGGTAGCCCAGCCACGGTGCTCCTCGTCTTCCCCCAGCCCGCCCGGAGCCACGTCTGGGTGTCCTCTGCCCTGATTCCAGAGGCCATCCCCACCCTCCCGGGGAGCCGGGCCCTCCCTGCTGGGGGGGCACCAGCACAGAGGAGGGTCTGGCTCTGGGCATAAACCTGCTCCCGAGGGGGCCTGGTCAATGTGTGTCTGTTGAATTGACTCCTAGGATCCCACCGCTGCCGGTCCCCTGCAAAACGCTGTTCCCGCCGGCAGCGCCCCTGGCCCCCAGCCGAGCGGGAAGAGGGGGCTCGCCCAGCCTTGGGGGCTCCCAGACGCTGGCCCCCAGGCCGCCCATCAGCATCTCTGCACTGCTGCAGAAGCAGCGTTTAGGCAAGTGTGCCCTGCTTTGAAAAGTGTGTGTGGAGCACGTTTTGAGTGTGTATGGGGGAGGAGTAGACACAAAACATGTTGAATGTTCCTGAGAACTTGCTTCTGAGCTTTGGTGCGTGGTGCTCACATGTGTGTGCCTCTCAGCTCACAGCTCCCGTGCTCTGCAGGGTCTGCTGGCCTTGGGGCAGCCACGCATGGAAGGTGAACGAGGTCCTGCCCGTGTCCGTCCACCTGGGGCTCTTGCCACCAGCAGGACGTTACTCAGAAGCAGTCGTCCGTTCTTCTTGATGGAATAAAGTAATACAGTTGAATAAAGTGTTTTTCTGATTATCTGGGGCAGCATATATGTGATGTTTGAAACTTTGCTCTTTTTATTACCTTAAACGTTCCTTAAAACGTCAGTGTTGGCTCGATGCGGGAAGGCTCGGGGGGTTGGGTGGGTCTGCAGCACGTCGAGCCCCACCTTCTGCACACAGGCCCCCACGCGGGATGGCCACAGGGTTCGGAACGGCTGCTGCCACGTGGGTGCTCACGACTCACATATGCTGTGTTCGGCAGTGACCGGTCTCCAGAGACGAGTTTTGTGCCTGACTCCTGCCGGGTGGGTAGGACGTGCATGCTCTGTTGAGGAGAGCAACTAGTCAAGACCACACAGAGTTGGAAAGAGGCTTCTAGGGCTAATCATAATCCTTTATGTTGCAACTACCTAAAACTTGTTGAAAAACTTGGTCTGTGTTCTTTCACGGAGGTCAGGCTCACAGTGCGTGCAGGTGTATAACAGGACAGGGAGGAGATGACCCCCTTCTGCACCTGGAGGGCCTGAGGCACAGGCAGGTGCCTTGTCAGGTGACATCTGGCCTCCTGGGTGTGTCCCCTCCCCTCTGGCCAGGCCATGTCACACACTGGCCTTCGGAGGGCCAGAGGCCCCTGTGCAGCTTCCACGTCCGGCTGGCAGATGCGGGCGGGCTGCAGGTGGAGTCTGACATCTCACAGTGGGGGCGCTTGTGCTGAGTTGGTTCCATTTCCGGAAAAGTTTCAGTGTTCTAGAATCCCCAGTCCTGGCATGTGTCTTTCTCTGCGAATGTTATGTAAGTGCATGACGGTCTCCAGCATGAGACTGTGGCCAGTCATGACGGGCAGGCCACCCTCCAGCTCCCACTCCACCTGCAGCCTGGGTCCGACGGGTCCAAGCCTGGGCTGTCAGGAGGGCTGACCGCCGTGCTCCTGCGGGGAGATGGGCTTGAAAACTGCCCAGGAGCTTCCCACCGCCGGGGCGCCTAGGCCCGCACACCACCTGCCTGCCTGGCAGACCTGTCTGCGCCTCGCAGAGGCCACCTTGCTGCTCAGACACAAACCTGGACTTCAGGGTTAGCGGCTCGTGTCTTCCTTGCTGCTGTTCTGCAGTGTGGAGACGCGAGTCTCAGTGGAGCTTCCATGCGCCAGGTGAGGTGCAAGGCCGTCTGGTGGGGCTGGTGCTCCAGGCTGCTTCTCACCAACATCAGCACATCTGCTGCTTTAACATGATTTTCATGGGAAGGGCAAGATTAAATGAGACATCTGAGTATAGACAGAGGACCGCCCTGGCTGACAACACCAGGTATGAGCTCGGAACGCTCATCAAATTCAGCCTCCCCTCAAGGCCTCAGGACAGTGCGGGGCTGAGCGCTGGCCCACCGGTCTGCAGCTGAGCGCCTGGTGCTGTTCCCAGTGGCTCTGTCAAAGAAAAATCACAAAGATAAGAGGGTTTGACAGGTTAGAGCCCGTGAGGACAGCAGTGTGGCGTGGCCCGGAACGGTCGCTGGCGGCTGCCCAGTTCCACTCGGACTTGGGGGGATGTCGCCTAGATTGTGCGGTGGGGTGGGGGGGGGGGGGCCCCCCCCCCCCCCCCCCCCCCCCCCCCCGCCAGGGCAGGTGGTTGGGCGCCAGTGGTAGTAACATGCAGAGGAACCAGCACATTTGAAAGTTCAAGCTGGGCCTCGGGCCCTTCTCTGGACTGAGCTCTCGTCTTTACAGGTAGAGCAAACCCCACTGTTGTTCAGGGGAAACGGGACAGCAAGCTTCCCCCGCGCCAGCACCAGGCCCTATTTTTGGAATGGGTGTGCCCGTTACACCTAACGCGCCTAATAGGATGCACCAGTTGGTGCTAAGTAAATGTTTGACAGCTTATCTACTACCGTGGTTTTTATTTTGTTTCTCCTCTTGTCTTAATTATAATGTAACACTTACTCAAGCCCCCAGATTGAGGCGGAGACGCCCCAGGTGCCTGGAACTGGCCCCGCCCCAATGCCCGCCCCCCACCCGCTCTCCCTCAGTCCCCCTCCCCCAACGCCGCCCCCGCCCCGCCCCGCGGGCTCAGTCTGTCCTTGGGCAGCGCAGCATCCTCCAGACTGTGTCTCGCCTTTCAGACGCCCCGCCTGTCGGACCGTTTGTTTTGGTTTTAGCAGAACTGGGCTCGCAGGAGCAGCTTCCGAAGCCGGCCGCGCACGTGGGGGGTGAGAGCGCCCGCCCCCGCGGGAGCAGAGCCTCGGGGGGCACGGGGGCCGCTCCCCGCCCCCGGCTCCGATGGGGTGCCGCGGACACCGGGCTGGGAAAGGACACGCGGGAGACCCAGCCGCGGAGGGGCCTTGGCCGGGACCCCAGCGCGTCAGGAGTCGCGAGGGTCCCTGGCCCAGGAAAGCCGGGGGGGTGCGGCCCGGAGGCGGATGGGAGCTGGAAGGCAGGGGCGGCAGGGGAGGCGTGAGGCGGGCGGGACCGCCGAGGCGGTGGCGGCTGGGGCTCGGTGTTGGAGGAACCTGCTCACTCCAGAGAAGGGAAGAGGCTGGCGCCTCTGCCCAGGAGACCTCCCCCCACCGTGGGCGCACCTCCAGAAGAGGCAGCTTCCCCAAAGCCTGGTGTGTTGGGACCGCTTTCAGTCTAATTCTCTTTTATAATTGCAGCACAGATTTATGCGGTTCCGAAGTCAAATCTGCCCAAAAAGATACCTTTGAAGAGGACCAGCCTCTCAGGCGCACTTGCCCCCCACTCCCCTGGACAGAGCGAGCCTTACGGTTCCATTTTTAATACAAGCACGGCCGGATTGCTGTCCCTCTTTTCCTTAGATAAAAACATTTCCCCACCCTGGGTTCTCACCTCCCCACAAGCGCACAGACATCGCGGCCCCTTGCACCCAGGATGGCCTTGCGGGCACTAAACGCTGGCCCCTCTTCACCCGCCGGCCTCAGAGGTGCTCCGGACGCTTCTCAGGAGGAGCCAGCAGCCTCCCGAAGCCTCTGTGCTTCAGAGCATGCAGTAGGTCCTTCTCCTCTGGGTGTTCACCATCTCTAAGACAAAGCAGGGGCCATCTGTCAAAAATTTTGTTTTTAGCCATAAAATTTCCATGGATGAAGTGTTGAATTGGATATTAACTTACAGTTGCTGGATGTGTTTTTCCAAAGTGAGAGGGTGTTCAGCCAGCACTGTTTCCCAGCTATGGCCCCTGGGAGCTGGGACCGGGCCCTCCACGGCCTCCCACCCGCTGACCGGCAGGAGTTTTACCAGAAGGAGAATGCGGAAAGCCCCTGGGACATACAGGAAGACAGAGGAGGACCTGAGCTCAGGAAGGGGCCAGCACGAAGGAAGCAGGTCTGGGTTCTGCAACCTCCGGGCCCCTCGCCCTGTCCCAGACGCCCCGTGGACTGGGAGTTGGGGCTGTGAAGTCAGAGAGGCTAAGCCAACCCTCAGGAGCACAGAGGTCTTTCACGCCCCCACGGCTGTGACACGGAGGGAGGTTTGGAACGCGTTTTCTTTTCAGACGGGAGGAAATTCCTAAAATTCTTAGGTGGTAAATCCAAGTCTGCACCAATTTTGTGTTGCACTTAAGGGAACCGTGGACGGGGGACTTGCATGGTGGGAGGGGGCAGGTGTCCCTTCCTCCACGTGTGCAGATCCTGGAGGCCTTCCAGCTGGAATGTGGCTGACCTGGGAGCAGGCTGGCGCCCTCCTGTTGTCAGGGCAAGGAGAGGCCCCCAAGAGGGATGGCTGCCCCGGCAGACGTCTGCACAGCCGCAGACGCTACGTCCCAGGAAGCACAGGTCACCCCGTGAGAGGGACGGTGCCATCCAGCAAGGCAGGTGCTTGGATGCCTGGATGCGGGGCCGTTCACCCTGGGGGTGTCCTCAGGCTTCCCCTCACCTTTCACACGGCACACAGCACCCTTCCTTGCCGCACGTGCACACACAGTGTGTTCTCACTCCGTGTTCTTTCCCTGAGCCACAACCGTGGGCATGTCTCTCAAGGGGTGTGATTAACATTTGGCCTTGTCTGATGCTTCCTGTGGCCAAAGCAGGTGTTCCAGGTGGTAACCTACATCCCTGTCCTTCCAAGGCCCCACAGGTCACGCACACGAGCCACGAGCCCAGCACCCCTCACTGGCGACGTGTGTTTACAAACGTGTGCACGGGTGTGTGAGGACAGCTTCACGGGTCTCCTCTCGCTTCAGTGGGTTTCCAGGTGCGTAGCTGAGAGGCAGGAAGATTCTCTCTGGGGGACAGCCTGGCACTTCGCATAGACACTTGCTTTAGAAGAGTCAGAGTTAGCAATCCTGTCTGCACAAGTACATCCGTATCCAGGCCCCACTCCCCCAAGGGTTGCAGGAGCCTGGTTGAGGTACCCAAGAGCCTATTATCCTGCTGGGCCCCGGGAGCCCCGATCGAGGATACTCTAAGCTCTCCATGGCACATGACTTTTGCTTTTGTTTTTATTTTTTTAAGATTTATTTATTTAAGAGAGAGAGACAGCATGTGCAAGCAGGGGGAGGGGCAGAGGGAGAGAGAGTATCTCCAGCAGACTCCCCACTGAGCACGGAGCCCGACATGGGGCTCGATCTCACCACCCCAAGATCATGACCTGAGCCGAAACCAAGAGTCAGATGCTTAACTGAGCCACCCAGGCGCCCCAGGACGTTTGCTTTTAAATTTCCAACGTGTCGCAGAGTGATCAGAAATCCGGGTGAAGCTGCCTCTGTCCTTCAAAGAGAGCTTTGGGGAGAAGGCTGCGGGGCCTGAGTGCTTCTGGTGGCCACTCCTCTGCCCGCTGGCCTCGTGGACATGGGGCTAGATGCACTCACAGCCCAGGAGACTGGTGCTGAGGCAGGGCCCGGATACACACCACTGCCTTCCTGGAGCCCAGCAGGAGTGGGCTGCAGGTCCAGTGTGCTCAGGGCGGGCACAGAGCAGGTGGAGGCTGCTGGGTGGGACTGGCAGGTCCCAGGGGCTGTGGTGGGTTCCTGCAAGGGTGGGAGCAGGGCTGCAGTGGCATTTCTCATTTTCCCAACGAGGAAATAATTGTGTGTTGCAGTCGGCACAAACACCACTTGGAAAATTGCTTTAGAAGAGCCTGCCTGACCTCAGGAATACAGAGCACGCTTCATGATGCTGTCCTCTGTCTCAAAAACACACTGGGCAGCCACACCGGGGCTCATGGTGCAGAGCTCAAGCTAAATCAGGCAGCTGTGGCCACATCCTGAGGGTGGTGGTCTCAGGGTCCCCCTCAGGCTTCATGGTTTCATGTGCAACTGGAAGTGATGGGCGCCCTGCCTCCCAGGGTTGCAGGGGGAACTCACCAATTCAGCTCTGCACCCTACAGACATGCCCACCCGCCCGATGCCCTTCACAGCCCAGCCCGGCAGAGTCAGCAGGGGCGGAGGGGGGTGTGTCTGCAGACCCAATGGCAGTTCTGGGCCCCTCTCCAGAGTCTCCGCCTCCTGCTGAGGCTCACGTGCTGATGGCGCAAGGCCCCCAGAAGCCCAGGCACAGGCCGGCCAGAGCGTCAGGCCGGGGTGGCCTAGGGCGGCATCCAGCACCACGGGGAGCGCTCTGCACCTGACTCCAGGCCCCTCACCTGTTCCTCTGGCTGTAGCAGGCTGGCTGTGTCCTCTGAGGACAGGTGCGGGACCTCGTGTGCACAGACGGGTGGGAGCAGCTCAGCGAGGAAGGGAAATCGCCACCTGCAGAAGCACAAGAAAGGCAGAAAGAATTCAGTAATGGGACTTACAGACCTTCAGGAACCTCATAAATTCGTTTTCATGAAATGTTATTTTGCCATTGTAGAGACACAGAGATGCAGCGTGGACTCTGCAGAGAGCAGGGCTGCCTGCAGCTCAGGCTGGGGCCTCTGTGGGGGGCCTGGGGAGCCTGGGGGCCACTGGGCGCAGACCACAGGGCGGGGGCAGTCAGTGAGAGCACAGGGGACAGACAGCACGGAGCTGGGCTGGGAGGAAGTGGGCACAGGGCCCCAGATCAGGCGCAGAGGCAGGGCTCCACCCCTCCACCAGCTCTCCCCAGGTGGGCGGGGGACGGGGCCCAACTAGGCATTGCATCACCAGGGTGGCTCAAGCCCCTGCAGAGGGTACAGCTGACCCAGGGGTGAGAAGCCACATGACTCACCGTGGACACCAGTGTCCTCGGAAGATCCAGACATGCCTGAGGGCATTGGAGTCAGTGGGACGTGGGGATTGCAAGTGTAATCTGGTGGCTGCAGAATTGGGGAAACTGAGGCACAACACCACCCCCCCCCCCGAGCCCCACCTCATGCCAAATGAGGGCAGAGCCCCTGCCCCCTGCCGGGCCTGCCCCTCCGGGCTGAGGCTCTCCATTGCCCTTGGCATCTAGACGTGGCATGGGCCTACGGGTCCTCTCAGCAAACCCCGTCCCACTACTGGACACCCAGGACACCGTCTTGTCCAACCCCACGGGCTGCAAAGACCCTGTGAGCGGGGCAGCGCCAGCCCTGGGTGGGTGGAGGGTTGCAGGTACATACGTGTGTGTGTGCACACACGTGTGCAGGGGTGGAGGGAGGGAGGGAGGGGGACTGCTCTGGGGCTGGGACTGGAGGGCCGTGGGTTCTGTTCCCGGCCCTGGGTGACGGGTCCTGACTCAGGATCTCGGGCCTGGTGGGCGTGAGCAGGACGTCCCAGGCGAGGGCCCTCCTGTGCACCCGAAGGGGGCCCCGCGCTTTGCGTCCCCCAGGCAGGCGGCCGGCTCCCGCGCCCCTTTCAGACCGTCCTCCTCTGAGAAAGCCTCTTTTCTTCCTGTTTCCCCTTTTACTGCTTCTGGTGTCTGCCTTTCTACATCTTAGACTGAAATTTGGCAGAAAAACGATTTGCCTCAGGACTTTTCAGAGCCAAGACCCGGGGCGGGTAGTTTGTGAGTGCGGACAGAGCCCTGGGGGTGGGGGGCTCCTTGCCTCCGAGGCTTGTTTTCTTTGGGCAGAGAAGCACAGATGTTTCTCGGCACACAACTTTGGGGCTGGGGTCACTGTGAGGCTCTGGGGTGGCCCCCCACCTTCGGGGAGGAACTGCGGCCACCGGAGCTCCCAGAATCCTCTGCAGGATCGCCACCTTCACAGGAGACACTGGACAAGACCAGGCTTAAAAGCAAGGACCATCATCTCCCCCCCAGGGCTAAGTGACAGGCCTCTGGCCCTGTCTGTGAAATGGGCCAGCACCCTCCAGCACCTCCTTCAGCTCCTGCCTCAGAAGCACCTCCCCCAGGAGCCAAGACGTCCCATCTCCTCACACAGGTGGCATGCGCAACAGGGGCAGCGCCTGGGCTCCAAGCTGCCTGCATCCCCACCCTACTCTGGGCTGCCCGGCTTCCAAGTGCAAAGAGCTTGAATCCGGGCCTTGGAAGAATTTCCAGATGTTTCTGGCATCAGAAAGAGTCTTCTGTGAAGCTGGGAACACGGCCGGGGTAGGGGTCCTGG